CCCCTAGTATGTATGATGCATGTATATTCTTAGCCCTCAAGTGCATAACTTTACATTTATCAACATTAAACCTCATTTGCCACATAGTTACCCAATTAAACAGTGCATTGAGGTCAGCTTGTAAATTGAAGACATCCTGTAAGGACGTTATTCCACTGCACAGCTTGGGGTCATCTGCAAAGACTGAAATGGGATTTTTAATCGCAGACCCTATATCATTTATAAATATATTTAAAAAGTAAGGGTCCCAACACTGAACCTTGGGGTACACCACTGACAACCCTAGACCAGGGGTGGGCAACTGTGGCACTCCAGCTGTTGGTGAACTACAAGTCCCATCATGCCTCTGCCTTTGGGAGTCAGGCTTGTAACTGTCAGTTTTGCAATGCCTCATGGGACTTGTAGTTCTACAACAGCTGGAGGGCCACAGTTGCCCACCCCTGCCCTAAACCATGCAGAGTATGAATCATTAACCACTACTCACTGAATACGATCTTTTAGCCAGTTTTCTATCCATTTACATACAGATTTTTCCAGGCCTGTAGACTTTACCTTACACATTAACCATGTGTGGGGGAACTGTGTCAAACGCTTTTGCAAAATCCAAGTATACCACATCCACTGCCACCCCTCTGTCCAAGGTTTTGCTCACTTCCTCATAAAAATAAATCCGATTTGTTTGACAACTTCTGTCTTTCATGAATCCATGCTCTCTGTTGCTTAAAATATTATCTATGTGCTCTTTTATTAAACTCTCCAGTATCTTCCCAACTATAGAAGTTAAACTAACAGGCCTATAATTACTTGGTAAAGATTTTGACCCCTTTTTAAATATTGTCACCACATTGGCCTTACACCAATGTGGATCATCTGGAGGTGTGTCAATACCATGCCCATTATGGACAAGAGATCCTCCATGCTCCTTTGTATACACAGAGCTGAAGAAGGTATTAAATAAATTTACCTTCTCTTTGTCCCCAGTCACCCACTCTAGATTATTTTTTAAAGGGTCTACATGCTCGGACTGGACCTTCTTTCTATTAATATATTGAAGAATTTTTGGGGGTTGGTCATGCTATCTTTTGTGGTCTAATCTCAATCTCAAAGGCACACACGTTGGTCCCGCATGCAAACAACACTTGTTCCACACATGTGAGGTATCAACGCGAATGTCAGATCATGGGCACTACTGTAGACCTCCTCTGTAAATCTAAAGTGGTAACCTGTAAAGGCTTTTGAAGCATTGTCTATAGATAGTAAAATTTACATTGTCTGTCACCATTGCAAGAGCACACACAATTTTAAAGCATGACAAGTTTTGTATTTATTTACTCAGCATAACATAATCTTTTATATTTTGCAAACAATTAGGTTATGTATTGGGTTTTTTTTTTGCATTCAGACTCAAAAAAGTTTATTTTTCCCCAAAATATTGCGTTTGAAAAATTGCTGCTCAAGTACCATGTGACATAAAAAATTGTAAAACCCACCAATTTATTCTTTAGGGCCCCTGCTTTAAAAAAAATAATATATAATGTGTGGGGGTTCTTAGTCATTTTTAGCAAAACAAATCCTGATTGTTGCAAAAAGTGCCAGAAAAAGTGGGTAAAAAGTTCACTAAATGTACTATTTTGTCTTATGATTTTTTTCAGTTTTTATTACGTTAACCTTCCCTAAATCACTTACCTTCCTGTTATAAAATGTGGCCTTATAAGTAATTTATTGGAAACAATACTGTAGTGAGATCACATTTATTTCTCTGCCTTTTTCCACATTCCAAGATTTCATTTGCATTTTCTTGTCCCTGAGCTACTAATGCTATTAAGTAGACTGCAACTGTTCTGAAGTCACCGTTCTACTGCTATACCTCACCCAATCAGAGAATGCTTTGCAATTGTGTGATCTCCTTTGTTCACAATGCAGCAGGGGAACCTCTCTGCACAGGACCTAGTGGCAATCACTGTAGTAGTGGTATCTACTAAAGTGATTTCCACCTTCCACGAGGATCCCACAGATATGGTACATACAGTAATCAGCCCTTTTGAAAAGTAAGATTTTATTCAATAGCGCAAGGAACACAAGAACAATTTCCAAAGTTTTTACAAAACTGAGTTTTATAGAACATTTCTTTAGCCCATTACATGAAGTAAGATTAACCACTTGCCCTCCAGAGGATTTAACCCCCTTCCTGACCAGGCCATTTGTTGCGTTATGGCGCGGTGATATTTTAAGTGACAATTGTGCAGTCATGCAGCGCTGCACCCAAATAACATTTTTTTTCCCCACAAATAGAGCTTTCTTTCGGTGGTATTGCCTGTGCGTTTTTTATTTTTTGCGCTATAAAAAAAAAGGCCGCCAATTTTGAGAAAACAAAACAATATTTTTGACTTTTTGCTATTAAACTTGCCCAGTGAACAAATTTAAAAATTCTAATTTCATCATAAATGTAGGCCAAAATTTATTCTGCTACATGTCTTTGCTAAAAAAAAAATCCCAATACATGTAAATTACAGTAATCAGTTTACATGAAATTTATAGCGTTTACAAACGGCTATAAATATTTCATATTTATAAATATTTTTATTTTTACTAGTAATGACGGTGATCAGCGACTTATAGCGGGACTGCGGCGGGCATTCTAACATTTGGGGGGGAACTAACTTGGTGTCACTGACATCCCCAGTGACACCAATAAAGTGATCAGTGCTAATAAAATGCACTGACACTGTACTAATGGCACTGGGCAGGAAGGGGTTAACATGAGGGGCGATCAAATGGTTAACTGAGTGCTGTTTTACTGTGTGCTGTGTGTGTGTTCTTCACTATAAGCACACTGCTTTGCATGACTCTGCTATGCAAAGCCATGCATAGCAGTGTGCAGGAGCTGACAGGGGAGAGAACTGTATTATTTTCTTACAGTTCTCTCCTCCGTCGGTAATGCTCCCCGATTGCCAGGTGCCGGCGACTAATCACCGGCTGGAACCTGGTGGTTGACAGTCGAGGCAACGAATAGTGGCGGGGGTAGGGCCCGGAAATGCTAAATCACGTATATATACGTGATTTTATGCACCCGTGCCGCCTTGTAGCTGTATTACTGCTATAGGGCGGATGGGAAGCAGTTAATAATATAACTTTGATTACAAACTCTTCAGTTTTACTCAAATTAGTTGATGCAAAATTGAATACACTCCACAACAAAAACTACTATATCTAGTATTTTGTATGACCTCCATTATTTGTAAGGACAGCATGAAATGAACAAGTTGGTGACATATTGCAAAATCTATCTTTTTCCATTTTTCAAGAACGACCTCTTTTAGAGCCTGGATTCTGGATGGAGAGTGATGCTCAACTTGACTTTTCAGAATTCCCCATAGGTGTTTGATTGGGTTCAGATCAGGAGACATACTTGGCCACTGAATCACTTTCACCCTGTTCTTCTTCAGAAATGCAACAGTGGTCTTAGATGTGTTTTGGATCATTGTCATGTTGGAAAAGTGCACAACGACCAAGGGCACGGAGTGATGGTAGCATCTTCTCTTTAAATGTAGAGCAGTACATCTGTGAATTCATGATACCATCAATGAAATGCAGCTCCTAGACACCAGCAGCATTCATGCAGCCCCACAGACAGACACTGCCACCACCATGTTTCTCTGTAGGCACCATGCATTATTCTTTGTGCTCCTCACCTTTGCGACACCATACAGTTTTGAAGCCATCCATTCCAAAAATTGTTAGGAAAAATACTTTTTTGTGTGTGCAAATTATCAAAATTTGTTTGCAATCAATGGCCAGCATTTGTGAGAGTATTTTGTAGGATAGTAACCCATTGGAAATGTTGATTCTGAAAGTAAAGTAAAGGTTTTTCTGACAAATCTGTTGGGGTGTATTTATGCTGAGCACTGTAAATGCTTGCATTGATTCAAGGTAGACCAATGTAACTATGTAATAATTGCCATACCTAAACTTCAGTTTTAATGCCTGTTTGTGCATTTTTGGTAATTTTACACAGAAAGAATACATCCAAGATTTGGAGTTTGTGCTGTTGTGAAATTTCTCCCTTCACTGTTGGTATGAACGTATGATTGTATGAACGTATAATTTCCATTCGTATGTATTGCTCTCACCTCTTGTTCTAATTTATTGCTGACCCCTATCAATATAGTCATGCAGCAATCAGGCGCTCTTCTATCATTATATTTCAATAGAATACTTCCTAATCTTAAAGTGACACTAAAGGCAATTTTTAAAAAAAAAATGTAAATAATAAACATGTTATACTCACCTGCTCTGTGCACAGAGAGGCCCCAATTCTCCTCTTCTGATCCCCCCGTGATCTTGGCTCCTCCGCTTCTTTCTATGCCTTTATAGCAAGCCACTTGCTATGGGGGCACACAGTGTGTGCTTGCTCCCGAGCTCTGTGTATCTATGGAGCCACACTCCATAGACACACTACGGGACATAGCCCCGCCTCCCCACTTCTTCCTCACTGCAATTGATTGACAGCAGCAGGATCCAATGGCTCCTGCTGTTGCTCAAGTCCTGTGTGAAGAGGAAGAGAGGGAAGAGATGCAGCCGTGTACAGTGCTGGATCTCTTCTCTGCAGTCTCCTCCCTTACACAGGGAAGGAGGAGCACAGAGAGCAGTAAAAGGGAATGCATTAGGGTAAAAAACGTTTTGGCTTTAGAACCACTTTAACTCTTGTTAGAGCTTACCGTCTTAACTGAAAGATTTTTCCATTCTTTGTTTGAGTCATTGGATTTGAATTTATAATGATACAGTTCCATTACTCAATAAATTTATGAGTGTTTTCTACATTGTTTCACACTTTGTGTTACACACAGCTTAGAACTAAATTTACTTTATTTAGAATTACATTTTTATACTTCAAGATAAAGTAGTCTTTGACCATGTTGTTTTATGATTATAGCCAGCTATTGTTTATGCATACTTCTTACATACTTCCATACAATCACATGTATCATGTTTTATTACAGATATGAATGCAACAGTGAGACGTATAGACCAGCTTACAAATATACTGGCTCCAATGGCTGTTGGACAGATTATGACCTTTGGTTCTCCTGTAATGGGCTGTGGCTTCATTGCTGGATGGAACCTGATGTCAATGTGTGTAGAATACCTGCTACTGTGGAAGGTTTACCAAAAGACACCAGCCTTGGCTATCAAAGGTGGCAAGAAAGCTGATGACCAAGAACTGAAGCAGCTGAACATAAAAGGTATTGTAAAGGAAAGCGGTGAAACGGTAAACTTTGGGAATAGTCCGAATCAGTTTTTTTTCTGTCCAAAATTGGTTTTCAGATGATGTGTTAAACCCCATCATGCCCCCCGTCCCCCCCATCCCCACACTGCCACACTGCTACACTGCTATCCCTAATTTTTCTACCATTTGGTTCATTTAACAGATAGCTATATGAAATGCATTTTGAACAGAAATAATTATTCTCAGCTTTATGAATATCTCTAATCTGAGATCATCTACAGAACTGCTTGTGAGGAAGGTGTATTCTGTAATTACTGGAACAGAAGACAAATCAGCAGGCACCTCAACATACACAAGCTTATTCCCACTACAGTCACCTCAACCTTTGTTACTATGCTACATTAGGTGTCTGTTGTGCTTAATGCTTAGTGGCAATTAGTGATGAGCTTGGGTTTCTTCCAAACTTGGATTCAGCCAAGCCTGAAAGTAAGCTGTAATTTTTGGGCTAATCAGCAGTGTCTGGGACATTCCCTGCAGTGCAGCTGCACATACACAGTGGAGCAAGAACTTTTTGCTCTTTGTCACTTATTTAATTTATTTAGTACAGGTACTTATACAGCACCATTTATGCAGCACTTTACATATATATTGTACAATCGCATCACCCCTGCCCTCAAAGAGCTTACAACCTAAGTTGGTTTGTCATAGGTTTACCTGCTCACAGTGATTGTCTGTTTGTCGATTATGCTCCTTTTACTTCAGTGCTTCAGTTACCTCAATGACTCAAATTTATTTAGAAAATTCTAATCTCTTTCATTCAAGCCTACTACAAGCTTGATATTACATTAAATCTATGCCGGACGAGGGTGCGTGTCCCTACGCACCATCTAGCCAATTAATGAATCAATGGGGGGGGGGCAGAGCAGACAGCGGTGGGTGACAGACACTGCTCTCTGCTCAAAGCAGCTGTGAGAACTCAGTGATCAGCAGTCATGTGATCTCTGAGTTCTCACACTTAAAGGCGGGGGACAGATGCTGGTAAGTAAATATGATTTATCTGATTTTCCAAATATCTGTTCTTGAATGCACTGGATAAAAACAGTTATGATCACATGTGGGTTTGTTCAGTGATTTTCCACATATTTGTTCTTGAATGCACTGGATAAAAAACAGTTATGATCACATGTGGGCTTGTTCAGTGAAGGAAATATCAGTGTAAACAAATAATGTAACCAGTAAATAGCCAATCAAAATATATATATATATATATATATATATATATATATATATATATATTTATATTTTTTTTTTTTGTGTTTTTTGTTTTTTGTTTTTTTTTTTTGCTGATCTGACTTTTGGCAAGGTCAGCTGGGTACACTTTTTTGATGTTCAAAGTTTATATCTGCATCTGAGAAATACTCAGTTAAGGAAAGATGTAGGAAAGTGTTAAGGTTTAAATAGAAGGAAGGAAGGAAAGAAAAAAAGAACAAGAAGAATGAAGGAAGGAACAAAGGGGATGGAGGGAAGGAGGGAAGGAAAAAGAGAAGGAAGGAAGAAAGGAGTAAGGAATGTAAGGGAAAGTAGAATGGATTGAAGGCAAGGGCTGAGCAATTGTTCTAGTGGCCGATAAAAACAAATAGGAAGCCAACTTCTGGGGCAATGAAGCAAGGCATACCGAGCATCCCGGCGTATGGAGAGATGGAACAAGGTGAAAAGGAGGCCAAACACACGAGACCAAAAACGAAACAGTCTCGGGCATGACCACCAGATATGCAATACATCTCCACGATGGCCACAACCCCGAAAGCATTGATCACTACAGGCAGGGTTAGCCTGGGCCAAACGAGCCGGAACCCAATACTAATGAAACAATACCTTATAGGCTGCCTTCAGCATGGTCGTATTAAATGAGCATTTAGCTATGAGTGACCAGGCCTTATTCCAGTCCTCCGGATCCACAGCCACTCCCAGGTCGCGCTCCCACTGAACAACATATGAAAGAGAAGTTTGCGACGAGCGTCTGTTCAGAGCTGCATAAAGAAGGGATATAAGGCCCGGGGTGCCCGGACGCTGCTGGCAAAGCTGTTCAAAGGCAGATTTCTGGTATGGGAAATTAGAAGTGCCCCGCAGAGAGAGCAGCCAGTGCCGCAATTGAAGGTATCGAAAAAATTCCGCCGGGGGGGACATCCCGAGACTCCCGAAGAGAATTCCAAGTGGGGAAGGACTGAAAAATTAAAAAGTGTCGCACCTGCGAAAAACCATTAGTCACCCGCCAAGAAAACATCCTTGGGTGATCTAAACCCAGTGGGAAAAGAGGGTTGTTAATAATTGGGAGCAAAGGCAGAAAAGGTGACATCAGGCCACTGGAGTAATGTACCGAGTCCCACACTTGTAAGCCATGGAGCAACATCGGACTCAGTGCCATAGGGCGCAGGGCAGGGGGAAGCCATAGAAGCGTCAACGTTGCAATAGGGGCACAATTAGGTAGTTCCAGCAGGACCCAGAAAGGAACGTCAGAGGAAGCGTGCAACATAGACAGCGGGGCAATCTAGCTCACCTGATAATACTTAGTTACATTAGGCACCCCAAGACCACCCTGGAGTCTATGAGCAAAGAGTGTATTTCTGGAGACTCTGGGGTGCTTACCGGTCCAGATAAAAAGCATAATCTTCGCCTGGAGCAACCAAAGAAAATGAGGGGCAACCCGCACTGGGAGGGTGCGAAAATAATTTAACAATTTCGGCAGGATGGTCATTTTCACCAAATTAACCCGTCCTATCCAAGACATTGCCAAGAATGCATAAGAGAAGATAGAGAGCTAAGCAATGGATAATAATTTGCAGCAAACAGGGAGTCAAGCGGGGGTCAAGCGAATGCCTAAGTATTCAAGAGAAGAGGAAGCCCATTTGTAAGGGAAGTGGGAAATCCTGGTACTTTTTTTACATTTTTTTACATATTTAGTTTAATATACGTTTTTAACATACGCTTTTAACATATGTAGTTCTATACTTTTGTTTGCTGTAGTCTTCTTTTTCTGTTTAGTAAAAGTATTTTATATAAATGTAATATTTTGACAATGTTTTTTCAGTTATAGATGCTAACTCAAACAACAATGAAAAACCAGCTGAACATATTTGCCTTGTGACAGATAAAGCAATTGTCACCGCTGAAATTCCTAAAGAGCCTAGTTGTGGTGACAGAATGCGTGAGCCATTTATCACCTTCAAAAATGGATGGATTGCTTATTACAACCAGTCTGTCTTCTGGGCTGGAATGGGTCTTGCTTTCCTCTACATGACAGTCCTTGGATTTGACTGCATCACTACGGGTTATGCTTATACCCAGGGACTGAGTGGTTTTGTTCTCAGCCTTCTCATGGGAGCATCTGCAATTTCTGGAATCATGGGAACTGTTGCTTTCACCTGGCTCAGAAAAAAATGTGGCCTAGTTCGTACTGGATTCATTTCAGGAATAGCCCAGCTAAGCAGCCTTGTTCTTTGTATTGTATCTGTCTTCATGCCTGGAAGTCCTCTGGATCTTTCTGTGTCTCCATTTGAAGACATCGGCACTCGCTTCCTTGAGGGAGAATCTCTGCCTACAGTTTCTCCAGCTGGTGTTTCTATTGATTACTTTACAACTGATATGCCCAATCTGCTGATTAGATCCAACTCAACTACTAGTGGACCTGAAGAGAACCCCATTCCTTTGCTTTCAGTTGGTCTACTCTTTGCTGGTGTTATTGCTGCCAGAGTTGGTAAGTAGAAATGAAATATACTTATGATTTTGGATATTAACAAACATTTGACTGGTTGTGATTTGCAATGTCACTAAAATAATCCTCTGGATATAGTTACCATTAAATTGAATGGGTTATTGCACTCAGTTTACTGTTCTTAAGAATTCTGGTAGTTTTGTGCTGGTTGTCAACCTTGTTAGTTTAATTTTTAGGGCGAGGATATGCCCTAATAGTCTTACTAATGTATTGGAAAAGTCTTTGGGTCTTTGGGTGGAAGTCCAACTAAATTTTGTTAAGGGTTCTAGGAGTTCTAAGGGTATCTCTGTCTTAAATACATTATACAGTTAGGTCCATATATATACCTGATAGCAGGTTATGGACCTTCTACTAGAAAGGCTTAGAGGGTGGATATTGTCAATAGATATGTTTACTTGTCTGTTACGTCTCAAGCAAATACTCTATTGATGTTGCTGGGAAAAGGGTGCATATAACCTCCAGGGTGCAATACCAGAGAAACATTGTTTTCTTTTGTTTTGTCCTTTTAGAGGGTATTTATAGTACTTTTGGGTGCTTGTGCCATATTATTGCCACTTTCAATAGGTTTTTCTTTACCCAGGATGCTTTTCGACTTTATCATTGATAGATGATTAGAAAAGGGTTCCATGGGGCTTGCATTTGTTATCTGATATCTTGGGAGTTAATATACAAATAGGTTCACTTATTCCACAGTTTCGAGAGAGACAGAGGGGTTAATTTAATAAAACTGGAGAGTGCAAAATATGGTGCAGCTGTGCATGGTAGCCAATCAGCTTCTAACATCAAATTGTTCAATTAAGCTTTGACAAAAAAAAACCTGAAAGTTGATTGGTTTCTGTGCAGAGCTGCACCAGATTTTGCACTCTCCAGTTTTAGTAAATCAACCGCAGTGTGTCATGTGTCTGAGACTGTAAAAAGGGTATGAGCCCCAGTTCACGCTGATGCAGCACAGGAAACTTAGCAATTCCTGTGTGTTTCCCATACCTCATAGAAATCGCACTGTGTTCTGCGATCTGCTACGGGTGTCTATAGGAAGTTTACGATGCCCCAAACGTAGGTTGCAAACGCAGTGCATTTGCCTGAACTGAATCACATGGCTATAAACACTCATGCTATCCGGTTCCAGTGAGAATAAAAAAAAAAAAAGAAAAGCTGCCTGCATGTTTTTTATGCAGATGCGGTGCGATTTGAGCTATTCAAAATGAATGGGCTCAAATCACACTGCACAGAATCACATGTGATTTTCAAAGGAATGCAATTCACATGTGGTTCACAGTAGAAAACATAGGCAGATTTATGTGAATGATTTTAGACACTTTTCAAGGCACTGCCAAATATTGTGACACATTTTCCATATGGAAAATAACACCTCTGTTTTGAGAAAACACTTTAATACAGGGGTCTCCAAACTTTCTTAACAAAGGGCCAGTATACTGTTCTTCAGACTTTAGGGGGGCCTGCGTGGCCAGTGGGAATAAAAAAATGCCCCAGTGTCAGTGGGAGTAAACAATGTCTCAGGATTGGAGAAGGAATAGTGCCCCATGATTGATATTATTGGAAGATATAGTGCCCCATTATTGTTTTTGTTATTGGGAGGAATAGTGTCCCATAATTGGTGTTAGTAGGAAGAATAGTGCCGCATCATTGGTATCACTGGGAGGAATAGTGCCCTATCATTGGTGTCAGTGGGAGAAATAGTGCCTCATCATTGGTATCACTGGGAAGAATAGTGCCCCAATCATTGTTGTCAGTGGGAGGAATAGTGTCCCATCATTGGTGTCAGTGGGAGGAATAGTGCCCCATCATTGGTGTCAGTGGGAGGAATAGTACCCCATCATTGGTGTCAGTGGAATAGTGCCCCATCATTGGTATCACTAGGTGGAATAGTGCCCCATCACTGTTGTTAGTGGGAGGAATAGTGCCCCATCATTGGTATCACTAGGTGGAATAGTGCTCCATCACTGTTGTTAGTGGGAGGAATAGTGCCCCATCATTGGTATCACTAGGTGGAATAGTGCCCCATCACTGTTGTTAGTGGGAGGAATAGTGCCACATCATTGGTAGGAATAGTGCCCCATCATTGGTATTAGTGGGAGGAATAGTGTCCCATCATTGGTGTCAGTGGGGAATAGTGCCCTATCATTGGTATCAGTGGGAGGAATAGTGTCCCATCATTGGTATCAGCTGGAGGAATAGTTCCCCATCATTGGTGTCAGCGGGAGGATTAGTGACCCATCACTGGTGTCAGCGGGAGGATTAGTGACCCATCACTGGTGTCAGTGGGAGGAATAGTGCCCCATCATTGGTATCAGTGGAGGAATAGTGCCCCATCATTGGTGTCATGTGGGAGGAATAGTGCCCCATCATTGGTGTAAGTGGGAGGAATAGTGCCCCAGCATTGGTGTCACTGGGAGGAATAGTGCCCTATCATTGATGTCAGTGGGAGGACTAGCGCCACATCTTGGTATCAGTGGGAGTGGCAGACAAAGGGCCCCATTCGGCCCATGGGCCGCAGTTTGGAGACCTCTGCTTTAATACATTGGCTTAAAGTGTTACTAAACCCAGGGCCATGCATTCACTATATCAGGTCTCCCACAGTACACAGAACATGGAAATGCAATTATGTTAGTAAATATAAACTGCTAAATACCTTTTTTTCATCAGCAGTTAGAGCAGTCTTGTGACTTCGATCAGTGTTCAGCAAAGCACTGGTTACAGCTTGTAGGAGGAGTTTTCTTTCTGCTCTAGGAGGATGCAGAACCCCTGACCTCTGTCTGGACAGTGCTGATTGGCCCTGCGCTGATCACATGCACTCTCCCAAGACAAAAAAAACCTCTCTAGCAATACACACTAAACTGAGCAAGTGCAGAATGACTACGAGTTGAGTTCAGTCTGTCTTATCTGGAGACAAGACCTGGATATTTGAACAAGAGGAGGGGCAGAGAAGACAGAATCACAATGCAGAGGATTAACCCCTTAGGTTCCACAGTGAGTATAACAAGCATGCTTTACTGCAGATACAGACTGATTTTACTATTGTGGGTTTAGTAACACTTTACCCATTTCAACACTGAGCCAATTCTGACACTTCTCGCGCATATATATATATATATATATATATATATATATATATATATGTATATATACAAATCTATGTTTATTGTTTGAAAATTACCTAGAACCCCAAACATTATATTGTTTTGCAGAGGCCCAAGATAATTAAATGGTGGGTATTTCCATTTTTAATGTCACATTGTTTTGCGCAGCAGTTTTACCAGGTTACCAGTTTCCAGGTCTAAGTACACAGGAGGTCTGGAGCTAAAATGATTGCTCTCGCTCTGATGTTTGCGATGATACCTCACGTTTGGTGCAATTACAGTTTACATATGCATGTGGGACTTACATAAGCGCTCGCATGTGAGCACGGGCGGCGCTTTAAACTTTTTTTTATCATTATTATTTATTTTATTTAACATTTTTTTTACTCTCTTTCCTTTTTCATCAACTTTATTGCTATCACAAGGGATGAACAACATCCCTTGTGATAGCATGGGCTGTGAAAGGTCCTCTTTATGGCCTCCAATGCAGCCGATCAGACACAGATCAGTCTGATCAACTGCTTACCTGGCTGCTAACAGAAATCCTCATCACTTCCGGTTTCTGGGGTCACAAAGAGTGAGGAACAACATCAGTCCCTCTCTCTCTGTGTAATGCAGCCAATGCTGTCGGTCGGAATGGTCCTGGGATACCAGATTGGATGGGAGAGCCTGGGAAAGATGGCAGTGGTGGGAGGGGGGACCCCCTTTAGCCCCCACAGAATTGATTGAGTGACTGTTCAGCCACTCTAATCACTTCTGCTTTACAGGAAATCACCGGCTGTAAATTTTGATACTAGGATGATGCCCTTCAGGTACAGGCATCATCCCTTTATAACCACTTCACTCACAGGACGTCCTATGATGTCTACCCCGGTAAAGTGTTATGAAAAAAAAAAAAAGAAAAGTGATGCAGTCACCACATCGAAGAATTGCTAACTTGCAGTATACTGTGCTACATTTTTGCTTTTGGATTTAATTCCACTTTAAACTCTCCTAATAAGACAGAGCAACCTTATACATAAAAGTCCAGATTTCCACTTTTTACATTTTTCTGTGGTCATTTATCCCAGTCTGGGTTCTATCACATCTATTACATTTGTATAATCCATTTAACATTCTGTGAATCGTGGGAACACAGTTTCAAAAAACAAGAAGCAGGCTAGAATACAAATTCAAGTATCTGACTGATAGACTGTTTCCTTTTCCTCTTTTTGTGTTCTAAACTTAGCAATGTTGGCATAGTGATACGGCCCGTGGTTCAGCATGTGGTCAAAGAAAACCGATTGATAGGTGGCACTGCTGGTTAAAATAAAAAACAAGGTGGCAAGCCGAGATTGTAATAATTCAGAGATATCCTAGTTTCCTGTTGGTTGGCTATACAATTTGGGTGCACTCAGATCTTACCTGGAGACAACTGATTCATAGACAGACGGTATATATTATCACTGTTTATACAATGGAGCCCCCAAGGGCTGTTTTAAGTTGTTTTTTTTATTTTGTTAATATGAACCTACAATATATAGAAGAGTAGGATTGCGCAGGGCTGATGAAAAGGCAGGTTGCCTAGAAACGCGTCACCGCCCCCTTGGAGGATTCCCAGCAACGTTCTGATGTCATTTCCTGCCCGGTGGCCATCTTGGATGTGCCTCAAGCTAGCTACTGTACCCACGCTGATGTGAGAGATCAGCAGTGCCTGCCCTGGATCCCGGTTCTTATCTGCGTCGCGACTCCCGGTTACTGCGCCTGCCATCCTCGCTTCCTCCTGTGGGACCCGCCTAGAGCGCCAGCCACGCAACACCTTGACATTACAGCCATCCATTTGTGAGGTGCAGCACAGATGACATCCTCCTCCTTATATATTGATGCCTGATATCTACCCACGTC